ATTAGAACTAATGAAATTTTGTAAAGTTTTCTACTTAAAGTATTGAATTCTAAAATAATAATAATAATAAAAATTAAACGGGGCGGGGGTACCCGTTACCCATACCCGCCACAGTGAGAAGTTACCGGCCCCATCCCCGACTCGAATACCCGATTAAGCAGGTGCCCCATGGGCATTGGATTTGTCGAATTTTTTTGCCATCATTAGTAGTGCATCGACTCTCTCAATCCCTTGGATGACTTCGATATGTTATGAGATATCCCCACGGTTCAGTTTTGTCATCACCCATTCATATGAGACATACATTGATCCAGGCTTTAAAACCTGGTAGATCTCACTGTGACAACTAAGGGCAAACAAATTTGTTAAAGGAAATATGCTTTAGACTCAAGTAAACTTGGCTCAAAGCCAGCTAAAGTTTCTATGAACCAGAACTTGAAGCTTAGCAAAGATGTAGGAGAGTTTTTCACACATCCCTGTATTTATAGGAGATTGATTGGAAGAATCCTCTATTTAACAATCACAAGACCAGATCCATGTTACAATGTTCAGAATTTAAGCTAATTGATGGCTAATCCTACTGATCTTCATTTGGTAGCAACACTGTTGAACACTTCGCAAGATCGGAAACAAAAAAGCAACGTGCGAAAAAAAGAAAAAAACAAAAGATTCATCCAAAGGTTGTGAACCAATTCCTGTATCCAGGCTAGCTATAGGCCGTCACTGAAGGACAAATGGGCAAGTGAATAAAACGTGATTCTTCATCGAAATTAGTTATCAGACTACGAATTAGGAATATCCACTTAGCGTAGTGCAACAGTTACCAAATTACCCCAATGTTTGTAGGGAAATATATGAATACCCTCATCCATTTGAAGAATGGTAGCAATTCAAATATCTCCCTCTCAAATAGCTATTTCTTCTCCGGTTCTAGTTTAATCATCTAGACTAGCAAAATTAGGAAGTGAAACTTATAATTAGGTAAAATGATTTGTTGATTGTATTTACATTAATCTTTGATTGTAATTGTTTGTCAATAAAATCATTTGATCCAGTTTTTACCATTAACAAACACATAAAATTCTCAAATACATCATAATAGCTTCAGGACAAAGTATATTCTTCCCAGCTCCATCTTCATTGTAATTGACAGCTTATTGCAATTCTGAGTGGGCATCATGACCTAATACCAGAAGATCATTGACTGGTTACTGTATCCTATCAGGAGATTCTCTCATATCCTAGAAATCAAATAAGAAGACGGTTGTTTCTAGATCTTCAGCCAAAGCTGAGTATGGAGAAATGGCAGCCACGTGCTCTAAGCTTACTTGACTAAAGTATATTTTGATATATTTTAAAGTACTTCACCCACAAACTGATGCTCTTTACCGTGACAATCAAGCAGCATTACAAATTGCTTCTAATCAGTATTTCACAAGCATATGAAGCATATTGAACTCGATTATAACCTAATCCGCGACAAACTACAAGAAGAGATCATCTGCAAAGCTTATGTTGGTACTCAATTCCAGTTAGCTAATATTTTTACTAGGACAATGTCCTCTTCAAGATGGGAATGGTTAATTTCTATTATCCATCTTATAGGCGGGTATTGCAACAAGAAGTGTCAAGCTATAATGATGTAGAGTTGATTCAAGCTACTGGTGCAAGAGAAATGAGGATACTGGAAAATGGCTAATTGTTCTCTTTTGTATAATACAATGATAACTAGTTTAGTTAGTTTTACTTGTCTTAACTCTTAATCATGTTGAGCTATATTTTTTATGAGTTGACACTAGGAGGCAAAGGCACGTGCAGCACATTTTTGGGTTATTTTTGTTTTAGAATGGTTGACACCACAATTTTTATTTGGTTTGTTTATCTTTTTTCAGTTTTGAGTTTTGAATTCATTTTCAATTTTCTGTTTCGAAAGTCTATTTTAACAATATTAAAAATGCATTTGGTTTATCATTTTGAAATATTATTTCTCGAAACAGAAAACTAGAAAACAT